ATCTGCAATGTACGCTTTTCCCATGTAAACAATGGGAAGGTAGCTAATTCTTGTTTAATTCTGTTTAATTCTTGTTTACATTCTGAATAGCTTCCTGGTGGTTCACTCATTTTTAACACTGAGCAGCAACAGCAGCAGCCACAGCTTCCCCAGTTTGTACATCAGCCTCAACAGCCTACAGCCTCAAGTCCCCAGCAGCCAGAGGAGCAGGTAAGGGTTATTGGCTTTTTTGTGTATGTGCGTCTTTGCCGTGGAACTTAGGACGTGTTTTTCATACATTTCCACTGTTAATTTGTAGTTCCTGGGTTTTTTCTCTTTATCAACACCAGAAGCTGCCAATTATTCTAATCATAGCTGCTCTGATTGGAGGTCTCCATCTTGCTAATTAAGTGTCACACAGCCAGGCAGTGGCAGGTGACCCACCTCTCTGTCTTTCTATCTAGCCTATCATCTTTTGTTTGTAGACATTTATTGCTGTTGCAGTGGATCTGTCTGTCTGTGTTGTCTTGACCTATTGGGCATTGGGAACACAGAAGCAGATACTGCACACTACGGTCAGGATGTAATTACATAAACTGAAGTCTGAAGAGAAAGGAGCAGTGTTCCTGGACTGACTTTGCCTATTCTGTAGAATCACTTGGGAAACTAAGCATACTTATTCCTAGGTCCCACCTTGAATGTCTCAGCTGATGCTGAAAACTACCCCATCAGCTGTCTTATACATCATTCCTTCCGTCTTCAGTGGGTAGAACTCATCCTCTAATAGGTTTCTCAGGGAGAACATGTTGGAAACCTTTTATGTATTACATGTATTACATTAAGGGTTTTCTTTCACTTTCTAAAAACAAATTTTATTTTATGTCTGTGTATGAGTGATGGTGCACACGATTCCAGAGGACTAGTAGGTGTAGGTTCTTTCTTTCCACTGTTGAGTTCTGTGGTCAGTCTTGGGGAAAAGTACCTTCACTGGAAGTTTACTGTTGAAGCTTTTTGTTGTTGCTGTTTTTGGGGCAGGCTCTTACTCCAGCCTAGCTGGAACCTGGCATTCCTTTTGCCCCAGCACTTAAGTGCTGGGATAACGGGTGAGAACTGTGCCAGCTATGCCAGCTGCTTGCCATTGAAGTTTACATTTTAGTAGTATTGAGTGCATTCACACTGTTGCACAAAGCATTTCCCACCTTACAAAACTGAAACTTTATAAACAGCTGATAACTTCCACCGTCCACTGGCAGCCACCATTGTGCTGGGTTGTTGATCTTAACCATCCTGAGTGCCTCCTCTCGGGAGATAGAATCATGGTCCGTGTGTCCTTTTCTGTCTCTTACTGTCACAGCAGACAGATCATTCCTTTGCATATGTGTTGAGAACTTCTTGGGTCTTACAGGAATTCTCTTAATTTCCTGAGACACACACTGTTTTCTACCACAGTGCTGCATGGTTCTACATTCCCACCAGGAGTGCGGTCAAGGGTCAGTTTGTCCAAATCCTCACTAACTTCTGCTCTTTGTTTTTTGTTTATGTGTTTACTTTCCTTGTGGTAGAGATCATACTGGGCCTCCTGCAGGCTAGGTGCTCCACACACTTCCTGTTCAAGCCAGTTTTGTTTTGAGTAGCAGCCAGCCATCCAAAGTGAGAATGAGTTGAGAGTCTCCCTGGCTGGAGCTTTTCTGCACTTCTTTGTTTCTGTGTCTTTGAAGAAAAAACCTATCCAAATCCCTGACCTATTTTTTAACAAGGTTGTTTATTTCTGCATTGTTGAGTTGAAGATATGGTATATACATTCTTCATAAAACTCTCTTACGAGTTCTGCAATTTCACTTGTCTTATAATTTATCAAAATGGCTTCTCTCTCTGTCTGACTTTATATGATCTTGAGAGATGACGAGTTTATCTTGTTAACATGTTATTATTTTTGTGTGTATGGGTGTGTCACTTGCATGTGTGCCTGTGCACGCATGCACATGTGGAGGCCACAGAGGGCGTCAGATCCCCTGGAAGCAGAGTTAAGTGGTTGTGAGTCACCATGTAGTGCTGGGGATCAAGGTGGACCCTTGGGAAGAACACTAGTGCTCTTCATCGTTGAACCATCTCTCCAGCACAAATTATTTTAGCTCTTCTAATCTTACTTAGTTATTTTGCCTGAGACCCTGTAAAGTGGCCTTTATCCTTTAAGTTGTCTAAAAAACCTATTATTCTTAGTGTATTTTGTTTGTTTTGTAGCCTAGGGAAGCTTCAAAATCTTGCATTAGTTCCAAGCACTGAGGTTGCAGCATGAACCTGACAGGCACAATGCTTTCTAGATTGTTCAGTTGAGTAATTCTATCCACTCATTTCCTTCTCAGCTCTGCTTAGGCTGCTTTCCACAAGTTTTGATACATCATACTTCTATTTTAATTCCATAAAATATTATCATTTGTTTTTAACATTTAATTTTTCTGTGTCCTTCTAAGTATTAGATTATGAGCTTGGCCCACCACAGCCAACTTTGAAGGCTATGTTTGAAGCTGTATCTTTAGGTGTAGACACTTAGAACCACTATGACCTAATTGAACTGTATAATTAGTGAGTGACCCTCTATAATCTCTATTTTTTTGCTTCTTTTGATTAATACTAAGATGGTTTACCTTTTCCTATTATTTCATTGTTATTATTTTATTCAGAAATTTAGTCGTTCTAGCTTGTTGGTAAATATCTAATTCTATTCATGATATTTACAGTCTTCGTAGGCCATTTTAGAAAAGAAATTGTATCCAATGCATTGCATTTTTTAGTGTTTCCTTTCTTTTACAATTGCACTGTTCTGGAGATGGTGTGAGGTCTTTACTTTAGGGTTTTTGTTGTTCATTCCAAGGACTGGGTTCCATTCTTGCTACTTCTACACGTGTTCATAGTTTATATTCATACAGCAAAGAAATCTGTCTTTTCAATGACTTAAATTGCTTTGCCCCCTTTTTTTTTTCTTAATCCAGGGTTCTGAACAAGGTTTAACTGCTCAAGAACAGGCCTTAACTGCTCAGCAAGCTGCTGTGATTAACCTTCCTGGAGTAGGAGGCTTTACCCCATCACAGGCAGCTGGTAGGTATTGCCCTGACTTCCTATTGAGATCTTATGTGTAAGCTATTTCCCCTTTCTTCCCTGCAAGCAGTAATCAGAAAAAAACTGAAGCATTTAATCTGTGAACTGTTAACAGTTGGCCAATAATTAGCAAAACTTGAGTTACTTGTTTATAAAAATGAAACCTGAATGCTCCCCCTTTCAGTAGGACATAGTGAACAAAAGGTAATACTGTATTGAATTCTTACTTCACATTTGACTAAGCCACATGATAGAACTGTAGTTAAAAAAATTAACAAAGCTATGATGGAATTTGAGGATTCAGTGAATTGTCCCTGTGTGCACCTTTAGATTTCTGTAACTACCAGTTTTCAAATTTAGATGTCCCTTAGTAGGATTAATCTATGTCTATGATTTGAAAATAATTCTTACATAGAGCTGTAGTTTAGAATTAGTGAATTTCCCAAATACAGATTTATAGTTATAGTTTTTCTAAAATAGCCAAAGTAAATATGTGAAAAGAATGGTAGACAGATGAGAACTGATCTCATTTCAGACAAATTGCAGTCACTTAGGCCAGGTCTGCCTTGTCACCTGCACGTGAGAATGTGGACTGACTGGGATGGCCCCATCAGCTGCAAGTCTTAGTTCACCTCTGAGTACTCACTGAATTGTTGTATTTTAAAAGACCATACCACTTTACATCATGTCAGGGTAGCTTCCAGACCATGGTCCAGTATCAAGTTCCATGGGGATGGATGCATAGAGGTTGCCTTGGAGGCAGGATGCATGTAGCAGGATGCTAGAGTGCTTCAGTATTACAGAACACTGGATAAAATGTCATAAACCCATAACCAACGCATTCTGCAGATGGAGAAAAGAGAATCAGAAGTTCAGGGTTAATCTTTTCTACATAGAGTTCCGAGGCCAGCCTGGGATGGCACTCTTGTCTTAAAAAAAAAAAGAGGAGGGAAGGAATCAGTGATATCCTTAATTAGCAGGAGACTAAATTTAAATGTGTGATTTGATACTGAAGGTAGCTTCTGTTTTTCTCATTTTCTGTATTGTGTTTTCTAACTTATGACTGGCCTGCTTGCCTTTTCCTGTAGTGTTGTCTCAGCTTAGCTCTGCCGAGGACAGACCTGAGCAGAACCTTCTTCAGCAGAGACTCCAGCTCTCCTCCGCCTTGCAGCAGCAGCAGCAGCAGCAGCAGATTCAAGTAATCCAGCAGCTTCACTTGATTAATTAAGACCCTGAGTTCCTAAAGTTCTGTGTACTGCCTTGCAGGAGGGCTACTTTCCTGTCTGTTAAGGCTAAAGCAACTGGTCAGTAACTTAGTTTGATTTAGAAGTCTGACATTTTAAATGCCAGTCAGCTTGGAGCACTGAGTATATTTTGTAACAATGCATGCTTTAAATCCTTTTTAAGGTCTTGGTGGCACACTCCACACACCCCTTTAATGTGCATTGTATTTTGAAATAGTTTTAAGTGCCAATTATTAACTTTATGATTCTGTACTTCTTGGGCTTGTTTTCATCACTCCTCGGGAAGCATTTAACATAATGTCATCTCCCTTTTCCCCCTTTACAGCAGTTGAGATTCTTGCAACATCAGATGGCTATGGCAGCAGCCGCCGCACAAACAGCCCAGCAACATCGTCACCGACATACAGGTGGCCAGTCAAAGAGTAAAGTGAAGAGAGGCATGCCAACAACTCCAAAATCCTGAGCAATTTTTCTTCTTTCTCTTTCTTTTTTTACAATCACAAGACCAGTGAATGAAAAGAACTGCATTTCTACTTCATTTACACCCAAGATGTCAGTATTTTACATTGCTAGATGTGCATACTTTATACAAAAGGACAACCCTGTGATTCTTACACGGAGACATGGTTAAATGTTTTCCTATATATACCATCTACAGAAATAACCTAAGAACTTCAAGGATTTTCCAAAAGAATGTAGTTTGTGATTTATTTAGTATAAAAAGCCTGTGCACAGTGTGACAAATACAGTTTTTACAGCGTTTGCAATGGTGGTGGCTGTTCATTTGTGTGTCACACTCTGAATGACTTCATCTAGCAGCCTGCTCACTTCTTTGTGTCTGGAAACCGCTCGGCTCATGCAGTCCTGAAGTTTAGCTCCAGTAAGTCCACTCCCACCTGCAAAATTTGTTTCATTTACTTTGTGATAATTAAAGAGTCAAATGCCATCAAGTGGTGTGATTTCAAGATCTGAGGTTACTTTTAGAAGACTCCAGAAAACAGGTATGTCCTAGGTTTAGGAATGACACACAACAATGAAATAGCAAAGAAGCCCATACACACATCAGCTAAACAGTCACACTCCCCACGCTCCACTTGACAACCACTCCCCCTGTGTATGAAGCTGCAGTGGATAGAACATACCTGGCTTGTGAAGGCAACACAGCTTGCCTTCCTCATCCATTACTATTGTTAAGGTTCCTGTTGACAGGTGTTCTTCCTCTCCAGTAGGATCAACGATCAGCAAAGTGCTGCATTTGAAGAAAAACGTGTTTAAAAAGGAACATGCATGGGGTAGGGAGGGGGTATCATATCAGTCCTAGGAAGAGACTGATTGCAGGAAGCCCTGCAGCCCAGTACTTATGAACGCCTTGCTCTTCAGCTCGGGTTCTGCAGCAAACAGTGCAGACAGTTTCAGGAGACTGGAGAGCAGTGGCTTGGAGCACACTCAGCCACGGAGCACACGGAGTACTTGCTTAGTATGAACAGGCCCCATACAGTCCCATCTCCACCAGGAAAAGGGCACAAAGAAACAGGGCAAGCGAGCCAGACATGGAATGGGCCCTGTGTGTCAGGAGGCAATGCGGACGGAAGCTCCAACTAGAGCTGCAGGGCAGGGCTCTAGTCCCGAGCAGATGAGGGCTAGGGACACTTGTAAACAAGCCATTATCTTAGAGCCTAGAGGGTTACTTTTGATTAACTTACTCATCAAACACAGCAAAGGAAGTGGCAACTGGGTTTGCTCTAACATTCAAATAACTTTTCTTCTTTAAATTAACTTCGGCTAAAGCAGTTTCTTCATTTATAGTAACTTCAGGTAACTGAACTAGAAAAGGGCAAGTAAACATAAGATGAATGTGGTATATAGCTTCACTTTAATCCTTTCTGAACTTTCCCCAAGTTAGCTTATCTAGAACAGTATTTGACAGGATCTTACTATGTCTAGTTTGGAACCTACTTTAGAGTTGTGTGCTACTCACCTGGTATCAGATCAGTATAGTTTCAAGTATCTCAATTGAGGTAGATGTGGTGGGAGAAGATTGCTTCTCAATAAAGCTTATTTTCCAGCCAAGCTGTTTTGGGTTTTTATTTACCCCCAAGACACGGTTTCTTTGTGTAGCCCTGTCTGTCCTAGGACTCATGTAACCAGGCTGGCCCCAAACTTTGACCATCTCCCTGCCTTTGCCTCCTAAGTGTTGGGATTAAAGGCATGTGCTGCCACCAACCACACCAGCACCGATACCAGCAGAGTACCACCAGTGCCCAGCTAGAAATTCATCTACTTTATAACACTCATTTGGTCATCTGCCCCTCCTAAAGTAGTAAGTGCTGCTCTTTGATACCATTTCACTACAGAGGAAGCAAGCAGGCTGGATTGATGTTTACCTAGGACCATACTGATGCCACTATTAACTGTATCTTCCACTATAAATTGATTGGATGTTTTATATAGAAAGAATACTGTTTTGCAGTCTGAACTGGCCTTCTGCCCATTTTCCTCACCTCCTATGGGCTGAGAATACATGCTGTGACGGCCATGTCTGCCTTAGGTTTACTGTTGATTCAGCAACGTAGAATGACTTGGAATGTGTACCAAGCTACCCAGGCCCTTACGAGGAACCAGCACTACCAGGAGATATTTATGGTCAATCTGCATAAACCACTTGGACTGTAGTGAGAATCCCCTAAATCAGTGAAGGGCTGCTATCCTAAGGACTACAGGTGGAGACAGATTCCAAAAGGTATAGAACATGAAACCAGAATGTTCATTTTTAGAAAACCCTGTAAGGTTGACTAACTTAAGAGCACAAACTTGGCAAGGTAGCTCATACTTAAAATACTACCAGCATCTGGGAGGCTGAGGTAGAAGGATTATGAATTCAAGGCCAGCCTGGGCTATGAGACACTGTCTTACAAAAAAATTATGTAACTGATAACTAAATCTCAACTAACCTGTAAGAGGTTTTGACCATCTGAACTCTGACCATATTAGCAGGAAAATGTTTTTATTAAGGCTGCTTACCATTCTTTAAAGCTGCTAACAGAGCAAACGTGCAGGCATCCAAAATATTTCCATCGTAGTCTAGGCAAATAAGGTCACAGTATAGAACCCAAGCAAGCTACAATAGTTCACACAAAAGAAGTTAGACCAGATAACAGAATATTGCTGTTTCTTTAGGCCTAACAACTACAGGACCATTGAGTAGAGAAATTAAGATAGACTTGGAAGCCTAACCCATTACAGAGAGCCCTTCTAAACTCTTTGGTTTTTGTTTCATCCCCACCACCACATTAGACCACAAAGCTACTTAAGAGTTCGTAAGAGAGGCCGGGCGTTGGTGGCGCACGCCTTTAATCCCAGCACTCGGAAGGCAGAGGCAGGGGGATCTCTGTGAGCTCGAGGCCAGCCTGGTCTACAGAGTGAGTTCCAGGACAGCCTCCAAAGCTACAGAGAAACCCTGTCTCGAAAAACCAAAGGAAAAAAAAAAAGAGTTCGTAAGAGCTCAGTCTGTTCTTACCTTGCCTGGAGAAATGCATAAGTCCTCTTTCTTAATTATCTGTGAGCTTGATTTAATGATAAAGAACACAATAAATGTGAATGCAAAGCTTGTGATAATGCATGGTGGTAAGATTTCATCATAACAGTCTTACTTTTCAAGGACATCTGCAATGAACTGGCTGGTTACTTGGGCCTCTTCTCCAGGAGGTCCAGTCCGAAACCTCGATGAACACAGCGGTGGTAGATCCACATTAGGGACTGAAAGAGACTGCAGCTGTGAACTACACGTCACCGTCGCCATCGCCCCGGCCCCCCCAGCTGGGGTTTCCAGATAGACTGCCCCAAGCACAGCTGATGGCTGTGGGGAGACTAGTTGGGTAGAAAGCTTGGCAGTGTTAGAATTACTTTTTCTGAGACTGCCTGGCTGAGAGAAAAAGAAATTTATGCTTGTTTTCCCACACTGCTTAAAAAGGTTCTTAGGCTTCAATCATAGCTCTTTACAGTCTTTCTGGTTTTTTTGCTTTGCTTTTCTCCAATAACTGTCTCTAGTGGGATAAGCCTGTGCTCACACCCAACTATTAAAGTTTTAAATGTGGTTTCTACTTTAAAGAAAAGAGACTATTGGTCAGTCTAAATTGAGTGCAGAGAGATTTCAATCTGCAATGATGGCATTTATCTACAACTACCCCTTGGATAAGGAATGTGCACAACTCAATGTAAACAAAGAACCCATAAGGGGCTGGCAAAATTAAGTTCCTGTGGTGTTCCTTGCCTCTGTTATTGTCTAAGAGACAAAAAGCTTTGGGTTGAGGAGGCATTATTCTATTTCTGACCATAGGGAGTCACAATCTAAATTATCAGCACTTCACTACAGCCCTTCATTTAACTCACCAACATATCCTCTATCAGGGGCATCTAGGGGTGGTGCTGCAAACTCCTACAAGGCAAGCAAATGTATTCCAGTGAAAGAAGCCACTCAAGACTATGAAGACATCCTAGCACTTAGTTATAGAGGCTGTACCAAAGACCACATCAGCCAATCATCCCACGTTTAGCATCTATAGTGCTTGGGGATCACAGCAGGACCGGGAGGATACTGGCACTGCCCTGCCCAGCGGCTCAAGGGAGTTAAAGGAGGCAGTGCAGCCAGACTGCTGTGCATCAAGATGATGAGGACCAGGGAGGGGGCCTCTGCCCCACCTCTCTGCACTTGTTCGGGAGCCAAGAATCTGAGTTTAACACTAGCACACTTCATATGGCTACTTAGTAACTAACAGTGGTCCAAGTGTGGTAACTGGCAGTAACTAGCCCAGCTCAGCTGGAGACCCACACTTCGTAGGCTGCGAGACTTGGGGCACATTATTTGACCTTACAAGTTTCTCTGGTGTCACAGGGACAGATGAACGGTACCCGCCTACTCCTAGGGGCTACTTCCAAGGCCCAATGAGACTGTGCCATTAAGTTCCCAGTATAAACCTAGCATGGGGTAGGTGTTATAATAGTTATCACTTTAGCTTGACCATAGCCCTAGAGGAGGAGAGTCTCCCAGAGTAAAGTCAGAAACCACAGGCTCTGTCCTCAGACTCTGTTGTGAACCTCACACACCTGGGGAGGCTACTGAGCTGACGGACGGACAGAGGACTGGTAACTCTAAAGTGCCTATTAAGGTACTCTAACAGCAGGTGGCCAGCTGATAGCTACTATCCTTTGTGCCTAACAAAAACTACCAATGGCTAAAAGCTATCACTAACGATCTAATTTCAGAAATGATATTGCCAAACTCTGAAACGTCCAAGGAGGGGCTGAGATACAGATGCAGGGGCGGGAGATTACAATTGTAAACTCTGATGCCTAACTAAGTACAGCCTGGTAAGCATGAAGCTGATCTGGAGCTCTGCCATAAACAGACATACAGTGAACTTACCGCTTTAATCCCACAAATGACTGTGGTGTTCCCCTGCTTCACTAGAGCAGAGCCGTCAGCCGTGCTGATTGAACCTGGAAAGGTAAACATGGCGTTTATTCAGATCCTTTAAAAAAACCAAAGGAAAATCAAAAACCACAAAGTTTCCTACAAAGCAATTTAAATGCTTTGGTTTGTATGGTTATCTGGGTAGAGCTTTCCAGTCGTCTCTGGAATTTCTGACATGTTCAGGTCGGTGATTTGAAAATGGTATTAACCCTCTTAATATCTTAATTTTTTTCTGTCCTGCAATTTGAGCTAATCAGGTTTAGATAAACTACAAAGACGGTGTAATAAAAATCTCTTTTTTTTTTTTTTTGGTTTTTCGAGACAGGGTTTCTGTATTGCTTTGGAGGCTGTCCTGGAACTAGCTCTTGTAGACCAGGCTGGCCTCGAACTCACAAAGATCCGCCTGCCTCTGCCTCCCGAGTGCTGGGATTAAAGGCGTGCGCCACCAACGCCCGGCTAATAAAAATCTCTTAACATCATCAAATGCCTAGGCATAGCAGAACTGGATAACAAAATATGCAGCACACTGGATGGGGGGTGTGGGGGTGTCCCACCGCTGAAAAGGATCTTCACCTATGTTGACCGTTGTGGTTCTGAATTCACCGAGTTCTCTTCCATCGGGACGGCAGTTTTCTTTCTAAACGTTTACAAGGAAACGGGTTACATACGTATTTCACTCATGCAAGGGAAAACACATTAAGCCCCATAATTTAAATGAATTGAAAAACTATGCCTTGAAGCATGACATTGTTATCACAAGCCCTCACATACAAAATAGCATGTACTTACTAGAAATCTCCTGTAATACTCCAGTGGTTCCACAGTTCTGAAACACGTTAAAAGTGTGTTAAAGTGAGTCAGTGTGAAGTAAATAACAAACATAAAAGTCCCCAACTAAGTGAGGGGGAGCCACAATCAGTTCTCACAAGTAGGGACTTTAAGCTCACCCCACTGTCTAAAGAAAACTGGGAACTGGATAGCCGCCTGCCTGGCCTGCCAATCGTAAATCCCCCTGACCACGGACTACAATATCAGAAGCTCGCACCCAAGAGCAGTTGCCACAACATGGCAGCTACTCCTTGGGAACCCTACTGAGACTTGCAGTCTTGGGGCTCCTCCCCCTCTTCTCAAGGCCCTTGTCTCATGATAACCTTGTATAAAAACTTGATGTGCTAAGTAATCTCAGTTTCCAAAAACTGAGACTTGAGGTCTCAGGACCCCCCCATCCCCTTCTTTTTCCCTTTAAAAGCTTCTCTCTTTGGCTAGTGGACATCTCATTTCCTCCACCATGGAAAGAGATCCGAGCTGGCCAGCTTGAATAGATGAAACCCTGCTTTTGCATCAGTGCCGACTCCTTGGGTTAGTCTCTGGGCTGCTGCAAACTGGCACCGGTGCATCCTAGGGCCTAAACCCCGAACTTGAGAGTGTGTTGCTGAGGCATCGAGATGCACGCGCTCAGCTACTAGCCACGTTTATAAAAAGGTCTTACAGTAGCAGCCAGTCTTCGTAGGTCACCTTAACTGTGCCCTAGCCAGGAGGACTGGCGTCCCTTAGCAGAGGATTCACTCGGGGGACAGTCGAGTCCCTCCAGTTCTGCAGCAGGGAACGCAGCATGTACCTCCAACTTTTAACGACCGCGAGGAGTGTGTCTGCAGGCACGGGAGGTACGTGTGGCCTCATCAGCTACACGCGGCAGAGGAGAGAGCGGGTGCGTGCGCTTGCACTCGCAGACACACGGACTCGCGGTTCGCACGCGCGAGCAGCCCGGGACCGCGTCTCAGCGCCCCCAACGGTTCCGCCGCGGAGAGCGGGGCGGCGCTCGCTTAACAGCGCTGTCCCTCAGCGCCTCCCGTGGGCTGAGCCCTCCCGCGGCCCCACGAGAACTCGGGGTCCCCTCCCTTCCCGCCGCCGCGCACCCCCGTGCACGCGCGGCCACTCACTTAAACCCGGCCGCCATCTTCCCGCCCGCGCCGCGCCTGCGCAGCCCGCTCGCCGCGCATGCGCCCTTCCGTCTGCCGCCCGCAACTCTCGGGGACCGGGCGTGAACGCCAGCTCCGGCTCGGCACGGTCACAACCGCCGGGGACGCCAACCCACTGGGTCCCACGACCCGGCCCCCGCGGGCCTGTGCGCGCTCACGCGCATCCGCACCTGCGCGCGCGCGGAATTAAACGCGGAGGCTCCGGAAGCGTCCCGGGCTCCAGGCGGCCTTAGACGGCGCGGCGAGACCCGTGGGACCCGTGCAGTCCTCCGTGCCGCCGCGCGAGGGCGCTGCGGGTGCATCCGTGTGCCTGCCGTGGCGGGGCGCGGCCGCGCGGTGTCGCTGCGGGCGGCGGCCTAGGGCCAGTGCGGCCTCTCCCGTGGGGCGGGGCCCATAGGCCAGGGTGGAGATTCAGGGTGGCTTAGCAGTTGCTGCAGTCCGCAGGCATCTGCGTGATGCTGGTCTCTGCTGTGCAAATGATGTTTTAGCACAGCAAATATAAGACGACGTCAGTGTTACCTACTGGAAACACTGCCTGCAGGCTCCTTTTGCTGCATTTATAAGTGCTACAAAAATGCCACCGTGTCACCGACATGAAGAGAAAATTCAGTGGCAAAGTCCAGAAAGAAACATTACCCAGCATCTGGGACTCACCTAGCAAACAGCTGTCTGTTGTCGTGCCTTCCTACAAGGGACAGAAACTGTCATTTCTACTTGACTTCGTTCACTAATGGGTACTTTCCCCCATCTCCCTTGGAGACACGGTTTCTCTGTGTGGCTTTGGAGCCTGTCCTGAAACTCCTCTGTAGACCAGGCTGGTCTCAAACTCACAGAGATCCGCCTGCCTCTGCCTCCTGAGTGCTAGGATTAAAGGCGTGCGCCACCAACCCTCAGATAAAAAAATACACATCTTTTAGGGTTGGATACGCAGCCCCTGTAGCACGCCTGTCTAGGGTATCTGAGCATCTGCATACATTTTTAGATGTAAATATCCCAATATTGCCCACTCTCTGCTGAGGGCTGGACTACAGTATTTTATATGTGATGAGTTTATAACTTAAAGTTTTCAATACTGTAACATTGTATCAATTAATCCATGTGAATTCACAAGAGAAAAAGTTCTCCAGACTATGGTATAAAGACTCCAATGGATCTATACATGAATACACACACACACACACACACACACACACACCTCCTCAGGGGCACAGAATCTATACTACATCACCAAGTCAGAGAGAGTCAAGAGGGAGGTTACAACATGCAAAAGCCTGCTTCATGATCTACAGAGCGAGTTCCAGGACAGCCTCCAAAACAATACAGAGAAACCCTGTCTTGAAAAACCAAACAACAAAAAAAATGTGTATTTTTTAAATGCTTGCACTTTTTATATTCAGAAGCACAGTAATTTATATCTCTCTTTGGAGTTGTCTTGGGACAATTAAAGATGTGAGCTTTATAGCTCATCTCTTTAGCTCTTTCTATAAAAGTCCTTTTTTTGATTAGCTTTGGATTTTAAGACACATTTCTTGACAGAAAGGGACTGTTACAGACTTGAACATACCTGTGAAGTAAAGTCGAAGTGAACTGGGCTCCTCCTGTAAGGCTGAGGAGTGTCGCCCAGGTCCAAACTCCCTGAGAAAGAGACTTCTTTCTCAGACATGGCCAGTTCCCAGTCTGCCTTAGCATTACGATGCATGCCTCCTCCACTTGTACAGCCAGGAGCAGGCCTACCCCTCATCTGTCCTGTTCCTTCCAAGTCCTTTTTATTTTATGTGGTTTGTGTACTACTGTCTGCATGTGATCCTAGGGACACCAGAATACCTGTTACTTAAATTATACCTGTGTTAGGGTTGGGCAGATGTCTTAGCAGGTAACAGTGCTTACTGGGCAGGCCCGTTGACCTGTGTTCAATTCCTGAGAACCCACAGTGGGAGGAGAGAGCCAACTCCTTCAAGCTGTCCCCTCACCCCCATGCCTGTGCACACCCACATATGTGAGCATGCTCACACACGAGTACACACAAACGTACTATTAATAATAAATTTGAGAGAAAAATGTTTTTAGGTTACAGTTTTATCAGCTGGCAAGGTGGCTCCCTGGGTAAAGACCCCTGCTGCCAACCCTGACCATGTGAGTTCGATCCCCCTGACTTACATGGTAGGAGAGAGCTGACCTCCTGAGGTTGTCCTCTGACCTCCGTATGTGCACCATAGTCATACCCCCTGACATATACACAGGTATGCACACACACACACAAATGTTGAAAATACTGTTATAACTTTATTAATCTCTCTCATCATTTTGCCAAATTAACATTAGTGTTTTTTGCTTCTTGCAGAAGCAGGACCCTAAGTTCACATACGAGGTAGTCGTAGTTGACGATCTCATATACCCGCAGCACTGACCACACCCTTTTGGGCGTGGCCACAGGTATGTGGGGAGAGGCAGAGATAAAGGTCAAGTTAGGAGGGATGGTGCCTCTCCTTTGGGTTGCGGTGGAGGTCAGCAGAGTGCTGACCTCAGGTCTCGGCTTCTCACGTATGTGACTTCTCTGTCTCTAGGGAGTATCCCATGACTCCCTTCCCGGTATACTCTGTGTGACTCCTTATCCATCTTCCCCGTCGGTGTGGCTTGTGGCCTCCGAGTTACTGCCCAACTTTCTGTTTGTACTGATTCTGTGTACCCTGACTGACAGATGCTAATTGTGTATGTTTATGGGGCACAACGTGGATTTCAGTACATGTAACACGCATGGTTATGAGCTTTGGCCCCCTTCTGCCGTATTATTCCTAATACTCTACTCTTAGGTGTCTTAAAAGAGAATGAACTGAAATGCTATTGAGTCTGAACTTACTTCTAAGCACCTCTCTTTCTCCTGGAATTTGTGAATTCAGGGTGTTTTCAGTTCTCGAGGAGAGACGATCCTCATGGCTGATGCTGATGGAGCCACGAAGTTTCCAGATGTTGAAAAACTAGAAAAGGGGCTGAGCGCTCTTCAGCCATGGCCTGTGAGTAAAAGAACTCATTGAGTGACAGTCAGGGGCCCAGGGCTCAGAAGCACCGTCAGAATTTATCTACAGTTGAACTTCCTTTTTCTGTAGGGACTGGTTCTCACTATGTAGAGCAGGCTGCTGGCCTTGAACCCACAGCAATACACCCGCCTCTGCCTCCCAAGTGCTGGGATTAAAGGTGTGTGCCACCACACCCAGCAGAGTCCTCTTAATAAGTATGACTAGCTGTCTCTGAGGTGTGCATATTCTGAACCCCTCAATAGACTTTACAAATATTAGTGCTATTTTTCATTGTTTACAACAGTGAGATGTTTGCATTAGATATGGTGCGTTTACATGTGACACTTAAATATTAAAAGGAATGACGCTGTTGCTTTTTCCTCAGGATCAGATGGCCATTGCTTGTGGGTCTCGAGTTCATTTGGAGAAAGAATCCATTGCTCAGGTGAGGCTTTCCCAAGCTGCCATGGACAGTAGCTTGTTAATCTTTAACCCCCTTACACATACACATCTGAAGAGAAATTCTGGGAGGTCAGTACTGAAAGAGCACAAAAGTAACATTAATACAATTTGAAAAGGCCATTCATCATGTACCTCTTTGGGGAGGGCGGGGGTTTCTCTGTGGCTTTGGAGGCTGTCCTGGAACTAGATCTTGTAGACCAGGCTGGTCTCAAACTCACAGAGATTCACCTGCCTCTGCCTTCCAAGTGCTGGGATTAAAGGCATGGGCAACCACTGCCTGGTTAAGAATCATGTAACTCTTTAATTTACAGAAATTACATATAATGCATATAAGTGCCGGAGATGTATAAGTGTGCAGTGTGTGTGTGTGTGTGTGTGTGTATGTGTGTGTGTGTTATGACACTTGGGATGACAATGCTAATCACAAAAGCCATAGACTAGTACTAGGCATAAGAAGGAATCCATCTTTTTTCAGTTTTTGATGAGGGAAGTCAAGAGACTCCTACAACAATCTAGGCTGTTGCTGTTGCCCTTGGTTGTATTCTAGAGGTTGAAGGCATTTACCTATTGCTGAAGACACCATGCATTTCAGACATAGGTCTTGAATAATTCAAACTGGATATGACCTGAAATCTCTGTCATGAGACTAGATTTCATAGTATTGGAATATTTTATGCAGGCTTATAAGGTTGGGAAGCTACCAATAGGTTCACACAGCTGTATCTATGAACTGCAATAACTAGCATGATATGGTGTCCCTAAGGGTGTCATAGTACACTCATGTCCTCATGGTAGCTAACAGCTGCTTAATTTTACTTAAGGCCAATTCAACAGAATGGAAATCAAGTCTGGCACTAGAAACCTAAACAACTTCAAAGAGAAAGCGAAATCATAGATCTTAGAGGAAAACCTATCACCTCCACTTAATAAACCACCACAATTTTAACTGAATGATCACATACACACATATATACACACAGATAACTGGGTGATAAGCTCTCACCCTCATCAAAGAATCTCATCAAACACAATTGGTCAAAATACAATAATAACATTTTTTTCTGATACTCAGGCCTAGTGGATACATCTTCTACTCAACTGTTGAAACTAGAATAAGAGAACAACACAGAAAGGAGAGGATACATGGGCAGAGACAGAGGACCAAAAAGTCTACTATGAGTTTGTGTCTCCTAGAAAAAACAAAGAATTGTTATCTATGATACTCCAACACTATGGGAACTTCCCAAGGGATGAACCACAAAATTAGTTATCCAATTCCAGTGGTCATCTCTGAAATCATAGACATCAAAGCAACACTAAACAAACTCAGCATGTTGTATTTATACATTTATGCACTTATGTAGTGATAAGAAAAAGAGAATGAGCCCGGCGTTGGTGGTGCACGCCTTTAATCCCAGCCCTTGGGAGGCAGAGGCAGGTGGATCTCTGTGAGTTCAAGGCCAGCCTGGTCTACAGACTGAGTTCCAGGACAGCCTCCAAAACAATACAGAGAAACCCTGTCTCAAAAAGAAAGAGAGAGAGAAACCCTGTCTCAAAAAGAAAGAGAGAGAGAAACCCTGTCTCAAAAAGAAAGAGAGAGAGAGAGAGAGAGAGAGAGAGAGAGAGAGAGAGAGAGAGAGAGAGAGAGAGAGAGGGAGAGAATCTGAGTGATTGAGGATGGTGTAAATGGATGGATGGAGGAACTGAAAGGGGTAAATGGTGATGTGAGTAGAATTATATATAAAATTACAATTTATGTATAACATATTAAGGTTATATAGAATTATATGTCAGATGTGTAGTTATTCAAATTTTAATTCTGTACCATGGAAAGCATGGCAACCAAGTGAAACAATAGGATCAAGAACTTGGAATATTATGACTGTATTTTTAAAAGGGCTTGATGAAAGTATATTTCAAAGCAATTTTCATTTATGTAAGGTAAAAAGATGATTCTTGGAGTAGAAAGGCAATCTGTAATATTAAGTAGAACTTTTTAAATTTTAGTAAGAAGTGATGGCACAAACTAGCAATACAGCATAAATGTATTTACAGAATAAAATGGTAAGACTTCTGGGATTCCATTTTGGAGTATACAAGAAGAATTGTGTGAAGTGCACACACTTCTGACATGTATTTATGGTCCTGGCTTTGAAGTCATGAAGGGGTCTTGGAGAGCAACTAAGTCTTGGGACTGTGAGAAGCTAGGGGGGACAATGGTGAGGATATGGCCTCAGTTTCTGTAGATATACAAGGTTGAAGGGACCATGGAGAGAGGTCAATGATTGACACTACATGAGAGGGTCAAAATCCCTGAAGGGAGCCCAGAGGAGGCTATTGGTGAAGATGCAGCCCGGCTGCAACAGAAATCGTAGCTTTTTGGAGACACCAGTACCATAGGACCTTCAGTAGACATGAAGTAAAGCTAGCCCATGTATATCTGCAGCCATGGTGTATCAAGTAGAAGGAAGACTAGGCACTTCCTCTCCTACTTAGACTGGACAATGCAAACCAGGAGGGAAGGGTCCTCAAAACAGGTAACAGTGTCAGAGACAGCCCTGCTTCCTCCGTTAGGAGTCTCACAATGAGACCAAGCTACACAACTGGACCAGATGTGCAAAGAGCCTGGGTCAGTCCCATGCAAGACCTCTGGCTGTCAGTTCAGGCTTTCCGAGTCCCTATGAGGCCAGGTTAGTGGATTCTCTGGATTTTCTGGTGGTGTCCTTGGTACCTTTGGCTCCCATAATCCTTCCTCTCCTGAATTTTTAAAGACTTTGGGAAAAGCCCACAAAACATCAACTAAAGGAAACTGAGGAAATATGGGAGAGGGAGAGGTGGTCTTCCACATCGATTGGTTCTCCATGCCATATGGACAGCCATGGAAACATCCATGCAGGTAACATTATAGAGAACTGATATATACAATAACAAGTGATGAATAAAGAAGCCTTCAGGGTGACTAGATCAGGGTATATGGGAGTGTTTAGAGGCAAGAAAGGGGAATAAATGTTTAAAAAATTTAAATGGGGAATGTATTTTATATTGAGATATTGACTAATGTATGATCTTGGAGATAAACAAGAGATAGAAATATTATAGTTGAAAATGATGTATTTGTGTCCAAATGACAAGGAGGTAATTGTTCTAGCAGTTGGATTTTGTTTGACATCTTGACACAGTGAATGATATTAGAGAAGATGAAACTACTGTTGCCTCTGGGCAAGTTTGTGGAGCATTTTCTTCATTGATTATTGAAGGTGGAGTTCACAGCTCACTGAAGGGACTACCAATTGTAGGCTGTCAGCCCTAGATGTAATAAGAAGTCAGGCTGAGAGCACCATGATGACCACTCCAGCAATCAGTGTTCCGCCATGTGTCAGGGCCCAAATATAATATTTTTTTTTTTTTGGTTTTTCAAGACAGGGTTTCTCTGTGGCTTTGGAGGCTGTCCTGGAACTAGCTCTTGTAGACCAGGCTGGTCTCGAACTCACAGAGATCCGCCTGCCTCTGCCTCCCAAGTGCTGGGATTCCAAATATAATATTTTGATATAGGCCTCAGCTCAATTCCAGGAGCTCGAATCTCCTATTGTCTTTTAGGTGTGGGCTGGTTACCTCCAGATGGCCTGGCCACAGTGGAGAATGTCTTCTAGTTTGTGTAACAATAGACCTAGGCCCCACACCTGTTGGGGGAAGTCCTGTGCATTTGTCAATAAAGTACTGTTGAGCCTATAGGAAACCTAGATAGGAGGGACTAGGAGTCCAAGAGGATTCTGGGAAGGAGACACACAAGAGAGTTCGAGATGTAGCCGCATGGGGTAGGAAGCCGGGAACTATTCTCCGGTAAGAAACATACTTAGATTAACAATTATGGGGTAATTACTTAATGCAGAGCTAGCCAGTAAGGGACAAACAAGGCCAACAGCTTCATAATTAATATAGCCTCCTGTGTGTTTATTTGGGACTCATGCGGATCTAGAACCAGGCTGGCGCGGCAGAGCCCAGGCGACTGGCGGGGGATATACCAAATCGGCAAGCAAGGAAAAAGCTTCTCTTAACATAATGGTGATCAGGAGTGGGATTGAATTTCCACGCAGAATGACAAAAGCTTTAAAGGAATTTTAGAAACAGAAGAACGGAGAGAAGCACAGATTTTTGGTAGCAGCATTTTTCTCAGGTGTGCTCTGTTTTGCTAACGACAAGCTGAGATTCACGTGGCTCGCTTACGGGAGTCTTCCTGACTCGGCATAAAAAAAAAAAACAGCAAGATTGTTTTAAGAGACTCTGCTAACGATTGAAAGGTGTGTACGTACAGCTGGAAGTGGCAGCTTTTGCTGGAGGTCAGCATGGACTGAGGCGGTAAGCTGGAATCATGCTTATGCCTGCCATCTTGGAAAAAAAAAAAAGAGGCAGTTTAAACTGCCGCGGTTTTAACAGATAAGACACGTGGCCAGAAAAACATAAAGATTTACAGTAAAGTCAGACTTGGATGAACAAAACCTTTAAAGGCTTACAGTGTGTTTAAAAATATACCTGAGACTGAGAGAGAAAATGAAATGGCAAAGTGGTAAATAAAAACAAAAGCTGGCGTTGTGGTGGCGCACGCCGGTAGGAATTGCTCCAGAGGCAGAGGCAGGCGGATTTCCAAAGAGACACCCTGTCTCAGAGAAAAAGAAATAAAAGTGAAAGAAATAAAGTAATAATAAATAAATAAGCCACGTAAAGATGGAAAATACACAGAGAGTCTGGATACTGTACGCTATTGTGTTTTTCAATTTTTTAATTGCTCAGGAAGGAACAGCTGCTAAAGTACACTTGATTATAAATGCTGCTAAATTAATCCAACTTCTATCTTTTGAAAATGACTTGACTTCAAAATTTAAGTATAAGGATATGTTACTCGGAAAAGGAGTTTTTGCTTATGTTTCTACAGAAAATGAAAAGCTGAGAATTCCTTCTAGGCTTCTGTGGTTTCACGAACCAAGACCCCCGGAAGCAGTGGACCAGGTGTTTCAACGACTGAGACAGCTAAGATGATACAGCCTTACAGACCCCGAAAATACGGACTTATACAGGTTTCTGAGTTTTGTCATGATCCCCATGGTATGAACAGCGCCCCCTTCCAGCAGGAAGCAGTTTGGAATGAACGACGTCCCAATTCCCATCTTGTTTATAAAACTTTGTTTTCATTTAAATGGGATTGTTTATAATTGGCTAGTGATCACAGCCAATCTTTTTTAATGGTAAAAAGGGGAATTATGGTATGGGTATTGTTTTTCATTTATTGAGACAAAATCAAGGTCAATTTTGTGATGCTTATATTTCTCCTCTTGATTAAGTATTGTGCTTATAATGATCTTTTACAACGTAATGCATAATTAAATACAGACTATAGATAGTTACTTATAATAGAATTTCTAGTTACATAAGTTAGGTTTCTAGATATACAGAAATATATTTGAGATGGACAGTCTTCAAACCTCTCAAAGACCCTCAGAACATGGCATTTAAAATGATTTAGGGTTTGTCTTGACAATGAGAAATGTCTGCTCCTGGCAGCACCAATTACGTCTGAGAGGAAGATGGGCATCGAAGAAACTCGTTATAAAGTTTGCTTTCAACATGGCAAGATTAGCCATTTGGGCAAGAAACTGCTCTTGCCTAGATTGTTTGACTGTTGTTGTATCATCTGGACATGCAGGACCCACAGGAAAGTGACTACTGAACTCAGTCTTACAGGGTTCCTGCTTGATGAAGAGTCTACGAGACTTTCTGCAGGACAAAGAAAAATGAATGATAGTCTGTCAATGCAGATGGACAGTTTAAAATTTCCTGCTTTGCTGAGAAGTGTTCCAGACACATTGTGGCCTATGGGCTGAAGATGGATGCCCCAACGTTACAGAGGAACTTCGGGTGACTGTCCAGGCAGTAAGATATCTCTGTCAATCCTAGTGTTTATATATTATCCTTCTGTGGTCTTTGATGGAGTTGAAGACAGTTATAATTATAGTTTTCCTTAATTATGATAAAAGATAAGTTACATATAGAACTTTGAACTCACAAGGATGGTATGGATGATATTTTCTTTAAATCTTGCTAAAATATTGTAACTATATTCTTATTTGATAACTGTTCTGTCATATACAATTTGACTATGTATATTAAGACCTTTCTTTTATTTAAACAGAAAAGAGGAGATGTTGGGGGGAAGTCCTGTGCATTTGTCAATAAAGTACTGTTGAGCCTATAGGAAACCTAGATAGGAGGGACTAGGAGTCCAAGAGGATTCTGGGAAGGAGACACACAAGAGAGTTCGAGATGTAGCCGCATGGGGTAGGAAGCCGGGAACTATTCTCCGGTAAGAAACATACTTAGATTAACAATTATGGGGTAATTACTTAATGCAGAGCTAGCCAGTAAGAGACAAACAAGGCCAACAGCTTCATAATTAATATAGCCTCCTGTGTGTTTATTTGGGACTCATGCGGATCTAGAACCAGGCTGGCGCGGCAGAGCCCAGGCGACTGGCGGGGGATATACCAAATCGGCAAGCAAGGAAAAAGCTTCTCTTAACACACACCCATCATGGGGGGGCTAGTGGGGACCAGTGAGACATACCTGAAGACTAGGGAGATGTGCGTTGAGAGGTCTGAGGGTTTGTAAATGTGCATTCTAGGGCCATCTCTAGGGTTAAAGAAAGTGTTTCCTAGTCAGCCCTATACACATGATAATAGATGTCTTCTGCCAGTACCCCCACTATTAAAGAGGATGCTTGAACAAACCAGTGTCTCCAGTATGGACTGAGAGCCCTCCTGAAATGACAAGATGTCTCTGTCTCATTCTTAACATCGTTGGGTAACTAGGACTTCCCTGATCCACACTTCCCCACTCAGGGTTGAACCTGGGGCTGTTCGGCTGACTCTGAACACAGCCCCCAAATACATCAGTCTGGAATAGATGTGTAGGACTGATGCAGGCTGGACCCCGACAGCCATGACCTCTGGTTACAGAATATAGGTTCTTGCCTTGAGTTGCTGCCCAGGATTTTCTTTGATGATAGACTGTGGGAAGGAACTATGAGCTACCATGGACCCTTTCCTCCCCAATTGTGTTTGGTCATGGTGCTTTATAACAGCAATAGAAATCCTAGGACACTGACTCTATTAATTTGAGGAGGACTGCAGAAGGAATTGGAACTTTGGGCTGGAGAAACTGCATCATTGAGGTGAAGTCTTCTGAGAAGTATTTTCTCTGTGTCAACACACAATAAGCTGTGCTCACGAGGAGGACAAGTCTGTACCCCTTGTGGTGACAGCTGAGTTTGTTCACATGCAAGGATCATCTAGGTACTGCTGGTTTTTAAAGTTGTGAAAGGGCCCTGTAGAAGAGCTGAGGCTTGACACTGCAGGTAGTACCAACCCCATTAATCAATGCCAGGTGTTATGTGGTTGTATAGGAGGCAATTTTTCATAGATAACGCATGGATTCTGCGTACATGTTCTGTAGATTTAACCTTAAGCTATATACACACAAAAGTTACCTTGAGAAACTTTCCTGCCAACACTGCAGGATCCTTATTCGGGGTGATTGTTTCTAACTCTGCCCATTTAACTGCTAATGTCAAGATTTTATTTTTCTTATAGATGAATACTATTTGCTTGTATAAGGGAGCCACATATTTATTGCCTATGGGTAATATGCTGCTTGGAGTTTCTGGCTATTATAAGCAGAGCAGAACTGAACGTGGATGAGTAAACATCTGTATTGAGACGTAGAGTCCATTGAAAACATGCCCTGCATGGGTAGAGCTGGATATTGAGGCACATGTATTTCCATCTTTTTGAGGAACCTCCACATGGAATTTCATAGTGACTCTCCAAGATTGCACTCCCTACAACAATAGCCATCCTTTCTATCATTCATTATATTACTCTTGGACATTCTGACTTCTTTAAATAGAATCTGAAAATATTTTGAATTTGCATATGCCTCAGCCCCAAAAGGGATGTCAGATATCAAATCCTCCCCTCCAGACTCAGCAATCTACGGGGAAGAGGATGGAGATATAGTTATTCATGTATTCCAATAACAAAACTAGACAATGCTTCTATGACAGTTTTCTACATTATCATGAATATGAATTTCATGAAACAATTTTCCTGCATCTATTGATTTTCATCATGAACATTTCTATTACATTTTAAAATATAGTGAGTCTTGACCAATTGACCTGAAGTTGGGGTGTGAGGGGGAGGAGGGAAACTGGGATTTCTCAAGATGAAGGACAACACCTCATAAACTGACACCGCCGCTACCCTTCTCTTTCCTAGGACACCCCTTCTGCCATCTCTCCCAAGGGTCAAGTTATGCTGGAAGAAAGACAAAGGGTGATCTGGAGATGTAGATCACTGTCACAGTCCCTCCAGAACTGAAGAATGAAAAGGAGAAGACGGGATCACTGGTTCTGTTTAGGCTCATCCTAATTCAGAGCAGTGGGGGGGGGGGGGAGGAGCAGACTCAAGAGGAGTGTCTGCCTTGACCCACACTGCTTACTTTTCCCCCTCTCTCCATGTTCCTAATATTTTTTTCTGGTAATCAGCAAGGGGATCCTTTGGTAAGGTGAGAGCTGTGCAGGCCAGGAGAAGGCACCCATAGCTACAGGACCTTGCTTTTTCCTTGGGCAGAGATGAAGTGCCCTGTTGGGAGAGGACATCCTGCCCTGCCAAGGGTATTGTCCTAGAGCCTATAAGATACTTCAGAGGGGTTGTGTAAGTCCCTGATGATCCTGTCAGTAATAAGTGGGCATGAGAAAGTAGAGGGACTATGCCTCCCTGAGGTCAGCTCATCCCAAGCACAGGTTTGTGGGAGAAGCCAGGGTCTCCTGGTAAGCAGTCTGGTGAGCATCTTCCAGAGAGCTTCTGAGAATCTATGAGAGTACTAAGAGCAGAGATGACTTCATGGAACAGCCTGGGGGAACTGAGACATAGGCTGGCCTACTCGGTACAGTCTTCTCCTGGTTTTAAGTACTGGTTTTACCCTCCCCAATGAAATGGATAGACATCCTAACGCTAGGAAATAGTGAAGAAAGGAACTGTCTGTCTCCTTTGGGAAGGAAACATTTTGACATAGAGTCAATGGATATCACAGGCTGGTCTGAAACTCAGTTATCCTCCTGCTTCCGCTTACAAAATACTGAGATCAAAGATGTGGTCCGCCATAATGGGCATTTATATTTGTTTATTTGCACTGTTTAAAGACAGGGTCTTGATATGTAGACAAAGCTGCCCTGAAACTCAAAATCTTGTTGACTTCGTATCCAAAGCACTGGAATTATAGGTGTACACCAATGTGCACAGTTGAGTCCTGATCTCTTTCGTAAACCTCTGATGGGTTTTTCAAAGCCCTCAGCTTTGAGTTCGGAAGACAGTTCTAATGGAAAAAGCACTTGCTGCCAAACTTGTTGACCTCAGTTCGATTCCCTGAGTTCATGTGAAAGACCCCGGCCCAGCGCAAGCAGCTGAGGCTTATGGAAAACTCCTTTCCCCCACAGCTCAGCCATTTTTTATCAGGAGGGAGCTCAGCTCAAGGTCTTCGCAGCTGAATAGTCACTACTATCTCTGTCCAGATAGGGACACAGGTGTCTATGGTCTGCATAGCCAGCCCAGAAAGATTGGGCAGGCACAGAAACCCTTTGTTCTTCAGATAGGGCCAAGGCCGAGAATTGAGTTCTGAGAGAAACCTTAATTGCCTCTCTGTCCAGATGGGAGAAACCTTAATTGCCCTCGTTCTGAGCCCCAGCCTCATTTAAATTACCCAATCAGGGTCCCGTAACTAGGCTTCTCGCTTCTGTACTGCGCTTTTTGCTATAAAAGAACCCCTGAGTCCCCAGCTCGGGGCTCTCAGTTCCCGAGACTGAGATGCCCCGGGTACCCGTGTATTATCAATAAAGCCTCTTGCTGTTGCATCCAAGCTCGTGGCCTCGGTGTTCCTTGGGTTCGGGTCTCCCTCCCGTGAAAGTCCCCCGCCTGGGGTCTTTCACATGTTTCAGGAAGGAAAAAGCCAACTCTAGCATGTTATCCTCTTACTTCCACATATGTGCTGTTTTATCCCCGTGTACACACACACACACACACACACACACACACACACCTTAATGAACATTTTACATCATATTTAACATCTATCGTTTTATTTTTTAATGATGATTAGGTACACACACACAATTTAAATGTTTTGTTTACTTGTATTTGTTTTGTGACCATCCAGAGGTGTTACATACATACTTGAATCCCAGGTTTTAGAAAACTGAGGCAGGAAAAAAAAGACAATTTCCAGGCATACCTGGGTAGCATAGTAAAATATTCTGTTTCAAAGTAGCGAACTCTGCCATGGTTGCTGTTTGTCGCCTCTGCTAATCTGGTGCGAGGTGAGTGGGTGTTCAGTTTTGAATCTTTCTTGTAGAACCTTAGTCTGAGTTCATGCTGACTATGTTGGACATGACAAATAGCTACCTGTATATTACTTGTCTGAAAACATTTTTCCCAAAATAAAGAAAAGGATACCTGCTTTAAAAAAAAGACCACTAGGCATACAGAACACCAAATAGACAGGCTCAGAAAAGAAATCCTCCATGACACATGATAACCACAAGAAGATACAATGCTAAAAGCTGCAAAGGAAAAGACCAAATCACATATAAAGGTCAATCCATTAGACTAACATTTGAATTTTTAATAGATACTCTAAATACAGAGGGATGTGGGCAGATACTTAAAACCTGTCAAAGACCCCAGATGCCAGCCTAGAACAATACCCAGGAAAAGAGTCATTGACATGAACAGAAGAAGAGAAACAATTCACAATAAAATCAACATTGAGCAAGCAATTCAAGTCTACAGTAGGGAAACCCCAGTCTGAAGACAGGTTACTACAACCAAGAGGACAGAAATGATAATAAACCTGTAACAGTTTATCAGAGGAGGGTTAAAGCACAAAATAACGAAGATGATAAACACTGCTCATTAATAATGCTCAACATTATTAACACAGACTAATCAGGCGTTCATGGTGCATGCCTTTAATCCCAGCACTCTGAGTTCAAGGCCAGCCTGGTCTACAGAGCAGGTTCCAGGACAGCCTGCAAAACAATACAGAGAAACCCTGTCTCGAAAAACCAAACCAAACAAACAAGTAAACAAAAAACCAAAATACACAGACTAAGAGTTTGAATTAGAAAACAGGATCCAGCCGAGCGGTGGTGGCACACGCTTTTAATCCCAGCACTCTGGAGGCAGAGGCAGGCGGATCTCTGTGTGTTTGAGACTAGCCTGGTCTACAAGAGCTAGTTCCAGGACAGACTCCAAAGCCACAGAGAAACTCTGTCTCGAAAAACCAAAAAAAAAAAAAAGAAGACAGGATCCATCTTTCTGCTCTAAGAAATACACTCCAATGTCTGTAGAGTGATGCCTTTTCCTTGTCTGCTGCTTTTGTTTTTTCCCTACCAGTCGCCTGGGCTCTGCCGCGTTGTAGTCCCCAAATAACGCACAAGATGTGGTATTAATTATGAAGCTGTTGGCCTTGCTTGTTTCTTACTAGCTAGCTCTGACTTAAGTATTTAATTGTCATTAAATTGCCATAATTGTCAATCTAAATATTTCTCTTACCGGAGAAGTTTCCGGGCTTCTTATCCCTATGGTGGTTACATCTTGACTCCCTGTGTTTCTCCTACCCAGAGTCCTCCTGGACTCCTAGTCCCACCTATCTTGCTTCCCTATTGGCCAACAGTGCTTTATTGACTTAGACACAGGATTTGCCCCCATCAAATGTCAAGAATGAACATCACATAATGTAAAAGGAAGAAAAATGTATTCCATGGAAATGGCCCCAAAAAGCAAGAAGGCATACTTGTTTTCCTTTTTTTCAAGACAGGATTTCTCTGTGTAGCTTTTGTATACCAGGCTGGCCTCGAACTCACAGAGATCCACATGCTTCTGCCTCCTTAGTACTGGGATTAAAGGTATGTGCCACCACCACCCAGCTAGGAATAATTATTTTTATATCTGACAAAATAAACTTCACACCATAAACTAAGGAATCAGAGAATGTCAGTCACCATATACTAAATAAAGGAAAAACACACTGAGAAGATATGACAATTCCAAGCATTATGCACCAAACACTAGTGCACCAAAGTTGTAAAAGAAACATATTACTGATAAAAATCACACATTGACCCTAGCACAGTGATAGTGGGTGACTTCATACCCCAATATCACAAATAGGTTGGGTATTCAGACCAAATATAAATAAAGTGGAGCTAATAAGGTTGTAAATCAAATGGGCATGGAAGGCATCTATAGAATGTCCCACCCAAACACTAAAGGATATACTTTTTTCCCAACAGCTCATGGGGCTTTCTCCAAACTGACCATGAATAAGGAGACAAAGCAACTCTCAACAGCTATAAGAAACTTGAAAAATTGGTCCTGTATTTTATTCCACCACCATGAATTAAAGCTGAATATCAAGAGCAGTAAAAACAGGAAATGTATAAACTTGTGGAAGCTGAACACTCACTCCTGAATGAACAGTGAGTCAAGACAAAACCCATAAAGAAATTAAAAACTTAGAGAATTGAATGCCAATAAAAACACAGCATATCCAAAACTATGTGGTACGATGTAGGACTAAGGGATAAGTTCAAAGCACTAAATGCCTACATGAAAATATTGGAGTGAATCATAAATAACTCGATGACACTTGTAGAGGATTGTTATGAATATATATGGGAAGAAGTAATAAAATCCACTGATAAATTAAATAAAACACAACAACACAAACAAAAAAGGGTTAAACACAATGAAAAGTTGGTCCTGCAGAGAAACCAACAAGTTTGGGAAAACCATAGCCAAATTAACCTGCAAACTGAGTGAGAGTATCCAAATTTATGAAATTAGATATGAAATGAAAGACTTTACTACAGATCCTTAGGAAACTCAGGAATCATGAGTACATACTTTAAAAATAAGCATTTCGCGAAAGTGGAAAACTTAAATAAGATGGATTAATATCTTGATACATGTGATCTATCAAGTTTAAGATAAAATCAACAATTTAAACTGACCCATAATCCTTAGTGAAATAGAACTAAAAATTAAAATTAAAAATCTCGCAACCCCAAATATCCAGAGCTAGAAGGATTCAGCACAGAATGACACCAGGCCTTAAACAAAGAACTCATGACAATATACCTCAAATTAGTCCTCAATGAGAGACTGAAGGACAAATTTCCTAACTCTCTATACTTAGCCACCATAACCCTGATATCCAAACCTCATACTCAACAAAAATAAAATTGTAGGCCGATATCCCTTATGAATATAAGTGAAGAAATTCCCAGTACAATACTTGCAAACTGAATTCAACCAGTGGATTTATCAGAAGTGTTTGGCATTTCTCTTTCCTGGCAACAGAATATTCAGAAGTCTTTTGTGTTTGTATCTCTACAGCCATGTGCTCCTTGTTCAACCTCTGAGCTGTCTGATTTACAATTTTCAGATTCACAGGCTCCAGCAGCTCCATTCATCCTCATGCTTGTGTGATTACCGTTTGGTGACTTTCAAAGGGGTAAAAAGTATCTGGCAAAAGTGATGTCTATGAGTATCTCAGGGTAAATTCTGTGGAATAATTAGTGGTGATCTTCCAAAACCAATTAAATTACACTTACTTGATAAAGTTGTAAGGAGACTAGAGATACTAACAAAACAAACAATCAGTTAACTGTTTGAAGCTTTGAGTTTACAGACTGGAAATATTTCCCTAAGGAACCAATTCTCGCATAAAATATAAGGTTGTCTTTAGTTAAGAATACCAAGGTATTATCTTTGTAAACAGTATTGTCAGAGCTACTAAACTAAGTATTAAACTTGAAGGGATTATGTAGAAATCCAGTTTCCTAAATCCCTTCATGTGACAGGAGTTCAAAGAAAAGACTAATACGGTGACCCTGGTGGCTCTGCCTCACAACTGCAGGTCCCTGAGTCATTGTGGTAGAGGAGAGCTCTGCTGGATGGTGTCCTCCAAAGACTATGGAGAATCACAAACCGTCTAAGCAATCAGATTATCGGATGGCATTTATTATAACAATAAAGAATGTATAATATGCAGCACAAAATAAATATAAGTGAAACAATATTTGTAACTAATATAATGTGATACAATAGAAGAACAGAAGGAATGCTATGTAATAAGCTTTTATGAACAATGGATAAATGAGAGGTAGAAGGAAACCTTCACATGGAATGAGTTGGAACCTGAGCAGTTCTTACTCAAGGCCAAAATCCATACTCTAAAAGCATCACTTTTGGTTTCTCTTGGATTGTAGCATAGTCTATACTTTTTAAAGGAATTCTCATTTCAGGACAATTCTGTCAAATGATGAAAGTGGCTTCTGAGGATTAATTAAATCTCCAGTTACTGAGAAAATCAAGGGCATGAAGACAGCTTGGCTATCCAGATGCTGACTCAGTCATCATCCTCCAGTTGTTGGTTCTAGAGAGCACTATGA